GTAGTAGTAGTAGTAGTAGTAGTAGTAGTAGTAGTAGTCGTAGTCGTAGTAGTAGTCGTAGTCGTAGTAGTAGTAGTAGTAGTAGTAGTCGTAGTAGTCGTAGTAGTAGTAGTAGTAGTAGTGGTGGCTTACGCATCCGAAGGAGTCATGCACTGGAGTCCGTGCGAGCGTGTGTGCGTTCGTGCGTGTGCGCGTGAGTGTGTGTGTGTGTGTGTGTGAGTGTGTGTGTGTGTCTGTGTGCGCGTCTGTAGTAGTCGTAGTAGTAGTAGTAGTAGTAGTAGTAGTAGTATAGTAGTAGTAGTAGTAGTAGTAGTAGTAGTAGTAGTAGTAGTAGTAGTCGTAGTCGTAGTAGTAGTCGTAGTCGTAGTAGTAGTAGTAGTAGTAGTAGTCGTAGTAGTCGTAGTAGTAGTAGTAGTAGTAGTAGTAGTAGTCGTAGTAGTCGTAGTAGTAGTAGTAGTAGTAGTGGTGGCTTACGCATCCGAAGGAGTCATGCACTGGAGTCCGTGCGAGCGTGTGTGCGTTCGTGCGTGTGCGCGTGAGTGTGTGTGTGTGTGTGTGTGAGTGTGTGTGTGTGTCTGTGTGCGCGTCTGTTTGTATGTCTGTCTCTGACCCTGTCTCTGTCTCTGTTTTCGTCTCTGTCTGTCTGTGTGTGCGCGTGCGTGCGCCCGTGTGCGTGCGTGCGTGCGTGTGTGCGTGTGTGTGTGGCGTTTTCTGCCTCCGAAGGCTCTCGCTGGGCCCTCTGGGGACCCTCGCCGGACGTTCGACAAACCACTCGGGGTGAACGCCGGCTTGGGGAGAGGGGCAGGACTTCGGGGGACCCCGTATCGAAGATCATAAGAAGACATCGGATGCCTGGGTTTGAATCTTTCATATAGTAGTAGTAGTAGTAGTAGTAGTAGTAGTAGTAGTAGTAGTAGTAGTAGTAGTAGTAGTAGTAGTAGTAGTAGTAGTAGTAGTAGTAGTAGTAGTAGTAGTAGTAGTAGTAGTAGTAGTAGTAGTAGTAGTAGTAGTAGTAGTAGTAGTCGTAGTAGTCGTAGTAGTCGTAGTAGTAGCAGTAGCAGTAGCAGTAGTAGTAGTAGTAGTAGTAGTAGTAGTAGTAGTAGTAGTAGTAGTAGTAGTAGTAGTAGTAGTAGTAGTAGTAGTAGTGGTGGCTTACGCACCATCCGAAGGAGTCATGCACTGGATTCCCAAGATTGCTGGGCGCCTCCGCGCGCTCCCGGGCCGTGTCGCGTGACGCTTCCAAGGGCTTCGCGTCCCTCCTCGGGACTCAGACCTGCAGCATGCTCTGAGACGGCCCGGGGGCTCGTCTTGGAACGCTCACTGGAACGCTCTCGGACTGCAGGCCAGGAGGAGGAGGAGGAAAAGGAGGAGGGGGAGGGGGAGGAGGAGGATTTGGATTGATATAAAAAACCTAAGAGTGGTACGTGGAGGAGGTGGATGAGAAGAGGAAGCAGGAAGACGAGAATTTCTACAGTGTCAGCACGGGCAAGAAACGAGCGCCACACCGCGTCGTGTCGCCGAAGCGTCTGCGACGCGGCACGATGCTCCGACCCCGTGCACTTTGGCCCCTCCTTCGGGGGCCGTCTTAGGGCTCTCTTGGGCCTCCTTGGGCGGCTCTTGGGCCGTCCTGGGGGGCTCTTGGAGGCCTCTTGGGGCCGTCCTAGGCCGTTCTGGGGTCGTCTTTGGGGCCTCTCGGGCCGTCTTGGAATCTGGGCGGCCCGGAGGGGCTGTCTTGGAGGACCCCGGGGGGCGGGCCCCAGAGGACCAGATCACCGAAAATCTGTATGCTGGTGAAGATCTGCAGCACTCTGGGCGGTGCGGTCCCTAGCGCGGCCAAAGACGGCTCAGCAGGTCCTCGGGATTGCTCCTAACACTCTCCAGAGGCGGTCCAAGAGTTTTCTAAGACAGCCCTGCTGAGGCCCCGCAGTTATATTATTCTCTCCTGTTTCCAACCTGAGCGGGTTCGGTCTATCCAGCATGGCGCTCTCTGCAGCGTGGGCCTCATTTCCGGATCGGCGATTTGCTCCCGTCGCTCAGGGTACTCCAGATTTCGTAATAAAAGGGAGGGGGTCTCAACCCTCCCAGACGAGAAGTTTCAGACCCCCCCCGTGGGAGAACCCTCCAAAACATCGTCCCC